GTCACACACAGTGCGAGTGTGTTTTGACTGGCAGAGCAAATCGACTCCGCCAGGCAGCCTCCACATTTGCATACGCCGGCTCGTATGACTTGGTAAACTCATGTCACACTCGACCGATCCTTGGCCGGCTCCACTCAGACTACACGATTCGCTCGAAACTATTTACCTGCAGCCCCTTTGCCTCCTGCCTCCACAACGCTCAACCTTGAGCGTCTGCTATGTTGTAGCCACTCGGATCTCAGACCCTAGTTACATGTACTTACTTTAGTGTGTTCATACGCTTGTGTGTGTGTGTGTGTGTGTATATATATATACCATTGTGTGTAAAACTGTGTGTAGACGAGCGAGGGCAAGCGGAATAGAGCCTCTGTACCTGCTTGTCTGGCGCAGTTCGCCTCAAGTGTTCACATGGTCTGAGTAGGTATAGAGTTACTCTGATCATCTGTTAGCTTGGTCCACTTACACCTTGGTTGCACAAGGCTAACCGTATCGACTTCATCGATCCGGGCGACTCTTTGTTGCTGGCTGGAGACGTGCGAATTGTCTCGACTCCATTGCGGCCAGGCAAACTCACCAACTTTGCTCGCCGGTCCTCCCCCATCGAGCCCCATCGCCAAGGGGGGGTTGGCGCCTGTACCCCTTGGAGGGGACGGGGACGAGAGTGGTCTGTCTGGTCGCCACGACAACGGGGACGGACGGAGGGGCTCCTGTTCGTGTCAGCGGAGCAAGAGTATCCAGCGTCTCCGGCCGGACGGGAGGGAGGATAACTATGGCCCAAGAGAAGGGCTTTCCAACGATCCTGCCTCCATCCACGATGGGGGTTTTATGCACGAGTGCCTTCCATTCGCCGCTTGGAAGTCGAACCCAAGGTTGCTCCAACAACCATCGACGGTAACTATGCGCAGCACAGTGTGGCAACACGTCAGGGTGACAAGTGACAACTGGTAATTCTGTACCAAGGATGGCGCTTCTCATTCACGAAACTGGCGATTCGTTTGAGTGTGTCTCCAAGACACTCCTCATGCAGCCAATGGCAGAGGACTGGGACCTGGATGAGTTTCGCAAGGTCTACCTGTTGCCACGACAAACCTACGGGAACCGAGAGAATACCAGCCACCATGTCACAGAGTCAAAGTGGTCGCGGGCCTATTTCTTCCTCGATCAACGAGGCTGCAGTGACAGAGACTTTAACAGGAGCAAGTGTGAACATCACGACGCCAGACTTAAGGGTGTCTTGAACAGCCACTACACACGTCAACAAAAAAGAAGTGTCTTCTTGTTGGCCTGAGCCAACATCGCATGAAGCACGACTCGAGTCGACTCTGTGAACACAGTTCAGGCTACAATCACACTATATACACAATTGATTTGACAACTCGACCATGCAGATACACGTTATTACCTCATCCTACGTGACGCTTCATACAAAAACCCACCACATATGTGCATCAATCAAATCACATCTCTATTACACCATGTGGTGCAATATATATAAATATATCCACAATAACATATATTTGCATTTTTACATAATATAAATATGTATAATATACTATGTAAATAAATATATACTTAATATAATATATATATATAAACATACTTGTAATAAATTTATATTTATACTTATAAATACGTATATTATATATATATATATATATATGGTATACAATAAATATCATAACACTTCACCTTAAATAGATTATTATCATTTTGTTAGTTCAGTCTTCCTCTAGCTATGATTTAGTATACCTATGATTGTATATATATATATATATAATAAATAAAATAAATAAATATGAGATTTGCAGAGGGCACGACAAGCACACCGTTACACACACCTTCATACGCAATAAGGGACAATACTAGTTGAATTGATATGACCTCCAGTTTGGTCTCCATCTGCTTTCGCAGTTGTATGATCTCGTTCTCGCGACTTGATTGTGTTGTCAACTCGGTATGGCTGAATGAATCTTGTCCGAAGCCCTCTGCTTGACTAGTATCGACTAGTATGTCAGCTAAATATCTGGTATCCACGGTTAAAAGGTAACTGTTATTATGGCTCCTACGGCAGAGGGCCTTGGACAAGGTGCGTGGAATCAGGTCGCTCTGACGAGGTCAAACCACTTCGACGGGTTGGGAGGATCCTCGAAAGACACTTGCCAATCACACGTTCACCGGGCCTGCAGCATCGGCGTGCCGAGCGTGTAGATCGCATACTTCAAGCCTGCTTGTGCATTAAGTGTACTCATTACATTTCGTTTAAGGTTACAAGGGGACTGGTAGTTCAATTTTCACACAATCCGATGAGTAGACCTTGCGTTTCCATTCAACTCCACACAGCCTTGCTTCTCTAAAGGTGTTCCCATCCCAGCGGGAGTCGAACCCTGGCGTGGCGGCGCGTAATCTCGACACGTCAACCGCCAGCCCACCATGTCACATGGCAGGTGTGAATTGCAAGGAAGGTCAGGAATTCTCCATACCGCTTCCTTGAAATTCACACCTGCCTGTGACAATGTCGCAGAGTGGTCGACATGCCGAGCCTACACGTTGCAGAGTCATGGTTCGACTCCCGCTGGGGGTGTTGCTAAGACGGAGGCGAGGTCGAACATCTTTTGGGAAGCAATACTGTGTGAGATGGAATGGGAGCGTCAGTTCTACTCACACGATTGTGGGAACCTTCACCCACCAGTCCTTCATCGTTTTACATGAAATAGGGTGAACACAACTCATACATTTGATTTACTGTCCGGCTCAAAAACACACGCTCCCTAACGAAGAAGGAGAAGGTTGTTTCAAGTGGGATCGCTGAATGCCGACCGAACAGGAAGCAAGACTCTGCCAACCACACCTTAATTGTACACACTTTATCCCATGCGACGGGATTGTTGCGCCTCGGCTAAGCCGGAAGAGGCAAGACGAAGAGGAATCCGATACGATGGGAGTGAAATGGGCCAGACGTGTGGGGAGCTGCAACGAAATGGACGTGTGTACACCGATACGTGGACGTGTGTGTGTGAGGGGGCGTGGCGAGAATGCCAAAGTGGGACAAGGCGAAGAGATCCTTTTGTAGACCAACCTTTCTGGCCAAAAAGGTCATTAGCGAGACAGTCACGGTCACTAGGTTACAGGAGAAGGGCCGGCTCAGGCATTGTAGACACGAGGTCATTTATGAGGTATCCGAGACGTGATAACACGCCATTTGCCCACTTTCATACATTCATCCCAACCAGAGCCCACTGTTAGTGTGCATGTCTTTGGGCAAAGGAGCAGCGAGGCGAATAAAGAGGGAGACACTTTCTGCACACCATTCGTCGAATTCAAACACTTTATCGAAGCTATGAAGACCGAGATGGTGTGGCCTTTTGTATGATTGCAGTCTCCTTTTGGTGTGTAGCAAGGCTCACTGACGAGGCTGGCGAAACGTCTGGGAATCTACCACGTCCACGGTCCGAATGTAGAAATTGGCATGGATACTGTGAGCCCTGGACACGGTCTCGCTTACAATACGAGAACATCTGAGACCTATTCATTCTATTAGGCTTGAAATGCTGAAAGCCTGATAGTATACTTTTCCCACACAGTCCTCATTCCCAAAAGGTATTCCCATCCCAGCTGGGCTGAACTGTACTGCCGTTTTGACCCAAACCTGGGCTTTGGTATTTTCGAATTAGACTTGCATACAAAGTAAGTATCGTTGCTAGTTTCAATGAACAAATCCACTTCCAGTCAGTTTGAGGTAGTCAACCAAATCACGGGACGCCTGAATGAGATATCAAAGAAAGGTTTTTTGTAGCC